AGGCAACATACATAACCTAAACATCTGTACCCCCATAATATGCTGAAATAAAAAAATAATAATAATAAATTTTTAATGAAAAAAAAGCTGACATTTTTAACTAAAACAGGCTCCTGGGGGCTTACCTCTTCCCTGTTACCCTGACTCCCTGATGCAGTCAGCGTTACTGAAACCAGCCTTGGTGATCACGTGTGCCACAGGTTGCCTACCAAGGATGCGAGTGTTCACAAAAGCAACTGTGTTGCAGGGAGAGAAAGTACAAGTCTGCACAACAAGCTGGCTCAACAATATTGAGTGCGGAATTGAAAGGAGATCCTTGATTCTATCGTTCATGTATTTAGTACAGATTTTGAGGCAGTGGTGGAAGGCATTATTGGGTGGTTGGTCCTGAGAACAGGAACATGACATGTGTCTAGCTTTTTCTCCATTGGGTTGCCATGACCCTGGTGTGTTTGTGATGAGAACTCATTGAATAAGAACTGTTCCTCTTAGGGGCCACCAAACCTTGGCGTTATAGCTAGTTAAGTGCTTATTCTCTGCTAAGGGATTCATCTGGGTGCCCCAGAGAAAACAGCACACTGACAGTGTTCATGTAGAATGGGTTCCCTCTCCCTGCCAGGCTCACAGGAAGCATCACCCACTAGCATTTTTCCTTCTGCAGGGAGGTCAGCCATCTTTTTTGACAGGGCTCTCCTTGTGTTCCTGGTGGAGGGAGCGCCTCCCATGGTGCACTGCGCCCACAATGGTGCCTGACCATTCTGTGTCAGGGCCATCGCAGGGCCTGGGGAGCCCTTGTCAGTGGGAGGGCAGATCCTCCACACCTAGAACTAGCCCCCATGCCCACCTAACAACCCTTTCTTTCTGAAACCTTCACTGAATTTGAAGGTGTCACTGTGTGTTGGGAAAATAATGGAAACACCTGGCACTTGCGTTTACAAGACCTTGCAATTTTACTTATATCTATGGATGAAGAACTATGAGTCTCTTTTTATTTAAGAACAAAAGGACATCCCAAATAAATATCATTGGTGTCTAATAGAATATGAGTAAGTAGCCTGAGGAGTTTCATTGGTTCTTTCTGGTGTAAGTGAAGAAGTAACTTGATGAGTTTCATCTATTCCTCTCAGGAGACAGGAAAGAGGAAAATTCATAAAGACTCCCATCCAGAGAACATTACCATAATGAGTTATTTTTTTTTTATTTTTATTTTTTATTTCAGCAAATTGAGTTATTTTAGGGCAAGCTGGTAGTTTGGGAAATCACCTTTTAGTCATTTAAGGTACACTTTTTATTAATGCAAAACTCTGTGGTGTCTTGTAATTGTCTCAGGTAGCCATGACAGAGAAGTTTAACTCGAGGGCACCTCCTCTCCACTGGTAGTGGCAGTAGGAGCCGCATCGACACTTCAGAAGCCTTCCCCTGAGAGCAGTGGACAAGGGGTGGGACACTTGAGTGATTTCTTTGTGACTCCTCGCATAAACAAACACTTGCATTTGGAGTGTTTTTCTTTAAAAGGTCTCCTAGCATTCAACGCTTGCTTTTCTCTCGAGCAGGATTTATACCACCAGTCCTATGACTGCGTCTGCGTCATGTTTGCCTCCATTCCCGACTTCAAGGAATTTTATACGGAATCAGATGTGAACAAGGAGGGCTTGGAATGCCTTCGGCTCCTGAACGAGATCATCGCCGACTTTGACGATGTAGGTACTGAGAGTTACCCTTGAGAGGCAGGAGTAGACCCGGTCCCACACCTCAAGATTCTTGTGCATTTGAAGTTAGTTCAGAATAGTGGCATATCTTTAAAAAGTTGTTTTTGCATAATTTCTGTTGGCTGGCGTGAAAGCCTTTTACTTTATTTAGGTCCTAGACTAATTCTAGGGAGACAAACACAATGTCTTTTTGAAGCTGATATGACTGCTAGGTACAGCTACCAAAATCTGTTAAATCCAATGTGTATCCACTGTGCTAGTGAATTCTCTACAGATACTTGAACACCAGGGAAAATACTTGCCCATACCTTTATATATAAAAAATAATGAATTATAATAGATTATTGGCATGTCTGTGCATACTTCAGGGTCTTTGTCAAATATCAACTTGAACTATGCATGGATGACATATTTTATGATTTAAAAAGTAATATGTATGTGGGATAATATGTCATAGTTTAGAAGGGACAAAGTGTATGGTTTTGAATTTGAAATAGGTGTCATTTTCAACTTTCCACATAGACAATAATGTGTTCTATTTTCTGCTAAGAACAAACACACCTCTGGTTTTAAGGATACTGCAGCTACACTATTCTTATCATTGTCATGCAAAGTAGAGGGGAGTTGACATCTGGGAGCATATGTTCATCATGAGTCATGGAATTTTGGAATACAGTGATAAGATTACGTAACACGAGGGTTTCAGGCCGACCTTTTAAATGTCTTGTGGGCCCTGTGCATTTTGTCCTACCACCATCATCATCATGAAGCTGACACTGGCTATTCCTGGTGAGGTTGGGACGAGCAGATTTCCACCATTATCCCAGGGGCATAGTGAAACTATGCAGCGGGTGTGGCTGTCTCGCCCCTCAGTAAAATAAACGCCTCCCAGTACTGACAGGTGAGTGACAGTGGATATGTGGATGGGTGCTCACCTATCTTAAATTCTTTGACATATGATCCTGAAAGAATCTCCGCTGAAGGCTGGAGTACCAAGGACGGGCAAGAAAATGCTCCTGGTCTCCAGCTGGTGCCACTTGAGCCCTGGCCTCCTCAGCAGATACAGAACCCTCCAGGGCTGCCCTCGCTTGTATACTTCCCCATTCCTCCTCCTTCCTATGGCTTCCGCTCTGATTCTTACCTTTCCCCCACCCCACCTAAAGTAGGAGATTGAAGGAGTCAGGTGGGAACCCAATAAGAAATATTAGGGTAGGGCTGGTGGAAGGAGCCATTCTAGATCTTTATTCCTTCCATCTCAAGCACTCAGAGGGCAAACACTGATTCTCAGCACTAATAATTGGTCATAAATCACCCTGACCGTGCTGGCAAGACGTCACTCTTTGAATCATAATTTTGTGTTTATGCCTTTTGAACACATAGTTGGGAAATTTATTTGTGGCCGTTATCATTTGCATCATAATTTATCTCGGTTCCTTCACTGGCAAAGTTTGAAAGGCAGTTCATGCTCACTGGAAGTCCGTCATTACACCGTATTTCCTTTGAAGCACACGCTCTTTATGAAGTGCATAAAACGTCCTTTCCCAGCAAAGCCCAAGGTCGCAGGGGGAGTGAGCAGTGGTTGGAACAAGTCTGGCTGGCATCGCTGTGAACGAGAATTTGAGGACGTCTCTACAAAGCGCTCAGCTGGGTAACCAGAGGGCTGTCATTGTTCCACAGCTGCTGTCCAAGCCGAAATTCAGCGGAGTGGAAAAGATCAAGACCATCGGCAGCACGTACATGGCAGCAACGGGTCTGAGCGCCGTGCCCAGCCAGGAGCACGCCCAGGTGAGACGCGCTGGCTGCCCAGCAGCACACGTGAGCCTCCGTGCTGCCCACAGGTCATCCCTGGGCCCAGAACAGTTGCACTGTGACCTATGAACTCTATGGCGTGTACAGCCTAAAGTTCAGCCCCACAAGAAAAGAGGAGAATTCCAGAGGCTTCTTGGGGTCTGAGAGTCGGTTCACAGAACTCCTTCTGCTGGTGAACAGGAGCAGAAAAAATAATCACTAGCTGCTTGATACCAGATAAATATATAATGAAGTAAGCGGTGAAAACCGTTTATTTAAAGGAGACTCTAAGAATGGCTCCTGCTCTTTTGATTTAAAACAGTGTGGTCAAAAAACAGATTGGCCACATAGAAATTTGGTTGAACAGGTTATTTGGGCAAAATTGAGTATCTTTAATCAATTAGAGTTTTTGAGATTTTCTGTTGTGTTGTGTATGTGTTGTGTGTATGTGTGTGTGTGTTACTTGTATAACTTGTTGGGATATCGGTGGGGCAAATAAATAAGACCCCTCTCCCCTCAGGACTGTGGACTTTGCTGCGGGGCCCGCCCTCTGCTGAGTTCGGCGCAGGGAACTGCACTTACCAGAACACACTGTAGGCGGGCGGGTTCCCAGCTGTGTGGCTTGCAGACAGTAACCTGTGTCGCTGTGTCCTCACATGGCAAGGAGAGAGAGAGATCTGGTGTCTCTTCCTCTTATATTAATATAAGGGCACCGGTTCTACTGAGTCAGGCTCCACCCTTATGACCTTGGTTAATCATAGTCACCTCCTAACAGGGCTGTCTCCAATACAGTCACACGGTGGGTGAGGGCTTCAACATATGAATTTGAAGGGTACACAATGCATTCTCTTTATTTAAAATTTCATTATTTTAGTTCATCCTGGATTTTTCTGCATGGATTTTGATTTTTCTAAATATTGCATTAGGATATCATTTCTCATGGTTGCTGAACTTTTGGACACCTTCTAAAGTTTTGTGCCTGAGGTGACGCCTCATTAGCCTCGCCCTCATCCAGCCCCCATTCAGGCCTCTCCAGCTCGTCTCCTGCAGAGGGCTGTCTGGGGTATGTCCCCCGATCATGCCCACTCCAACTTTAGCTTTGTGACAACCAGCCACCGAAGCCTTGGTAGTGCCTTGGAACAGGGACCTTCCAAGACACCACCACATGAAGATCCACTCTGCATTCAGCATGTGGGCTGGGCCACCCTCTGTCACCCTCCTCATCCCAGCATGCCAGCCTGCACCTCTGACCCTGACTCTGCTTCCGCCAGCCCCTGGTCTCCTGAATTTTCTAGAAATGTCTCCAGGCCTTTTCTCTTCCTTTCCACGGTCACACTTTATGGACTGAGAGTCCGTATCCACTGCCTTTATTTTTCCCCTTCTACTTTTTCCCTAACACTCCTCAATCCTGCCTCGCCAGTGCCGTTGGCAGGAGTTCCATTCTTAATGATCAAAAAACACTGCCAAATTCGAATTCCAAGTGCTTTTGCATTGTCCGAGCTTTTGTTCTCCATGTCCTGTCTGTGGCTGGCTGTGGCCTTTGCCCAGAAATCCTCCCTCGGCATAAGAGCCCTTCCCTGTCTGACTCTAGCCCGTGTCCCTCTCTGTGGGCCACTGTGATGTTCTTTCCCCAACCCCTCCTCTCCACCAGGGACCTCACCTAAGACTTCATCCATCCCCTCTGCACACTGCATCCCCACCAAAGCCATTTGCCACTGTTCTGACCGTTGGGCCAAGCTTAGATATCACTTCCAGCCTCCTGTGCACACCCTGCTTTCTACCACTACTGTCATTTATTTCTCATCCTCCCCACTCCAAAAACAGAGTGCCCACCTTCTGTCCCCAGCCCCCTGCCCTGACCCATCTCCTACCTCTCCCGGCCATCTCTGCCCCAGCCCTCAAACACGCACGTACTTCTGTGCAGACCAACCGAAGTTCAACCTACACCCTCTCCAAGTGGGGCACACCCACCACCTGCAGCAGCACCACCTGAGATAGTTGTCACACGTGGTTCCCAGGGCACCCCCAAGCCTGCTGTATTTCCGAGCATAGGGCTGGAAATCCCAGTTGCCACTGGTTGCCCCAGGGGATTCTGCTGCACACCGAAGATGCCCTGCCCTGTCGAGGAACCTTTCCGAATCTCCCCCATCAGCAGGGCCAGGGCTCCGACCCTCATAGAAGGCTCCTCTGCACCCCAACCTGAGGAGCTTCGCCTCATCGGGCCTCCTGGGTCCAGATCTTATTTCCTTTCCTCACTACTTGCCGCCTCTCATTTTCACCTTTCTTGGAAATGTGTGTGTTTCTTAGCCACCATCCAGATTATAGAGTCCTCATCTTATGCCTTGTCCCCCAAAGTCCCCAGCAGGGGGCCGTCATGTCGTGATTACACGGGTTTGTCCACGCAGTGACTGTGTGCCCACCCCACGTCCCCAGCAGTGCCCAGCTTCCTTCACTCTGATTTACAGACCTGTCGCTCCCAACGCAAACCCTTTTTTCCCTGACATTTCGAACACTTCCTAAATGCCTCCTGAGCCTTTAAACAAGCCTCGGAGGCAGGCGGTAAAAGCCCCTGCCGGTGGGGGTTTAACAGATGGTCCCCGGGAGAAGCAGCAGCCACGGAGCAGGGCTGCGGACCCGGGTACTCTGCGTGTGTCTGTTCAGAGCTCCCCACGGCGGCCTCAGATGATGTCTCTCCTCCTCCTCCTCCTCTCTTGCCCCTTCGCCAGCCCCCATCCTGCCCCGTTCACACCTGTGCCCCCAGGTTTACGTCCATTCCATTCCCGCTACCTTGAGCAGCCGCAGCTATCTGTGAACTGCTTACTGACTTCCTACCCAGTCACCGCTGTTAATATGTCACCATTTTCAGGGTAGAGTTGAAAAAGCACAACTTTCAAATGAGGCTGCTCGTAACTGTCTATCACAGCTGTGTTTTCTGCCCTCAGTTTCCTTGTGCATAAAATGGCGACCGTGCCCACTGCGTGAGGCTGTCGGGAAGACTGCATTTAACATGCAAAATACTTAATAGACTACATGGGCATAGTAGGCAATAAAAATGCTAATAGTAATAATAATACGGTTGTGGTTTGTACCCTGTTTTGCATATTGGTACCAGTGACCCCTTCAAAAGCACAGAGATAACGGTTTGGGACATAAATGGAATGTGATATGCTGTCTTATCCATGGAGGGAATTTCTGCTCAATACTGTATGTGCAATGTGTGATTAGAGCATTTAATTAGATTCTTGGCAAGGTCATCCTAGAAATACTTTGCAGTGTAATGAAGGGATTCTGAAAGGAAAGTTCATTACATTTGGTTGGGGGAAAACAACATGCTTTATAAATATATATGCTGATATTTTTATATGAAATGAATGTCACCTTTGCCTTTTGAAACCTACCTGAAATAATGAGCTTAAGCCTTTGTTTCTCTAGTTATAAAAAAAAAATTTCTATTTATTATTTAACCAAATCTTTAGTGTGGCAACAAAAGATATTCGGTTTAAAAAATATATAGGGTACCCAAAGGATTAATGTGTTTTTCTTAAATCTCAAAGAGGCAGAATACCTGGGTAATAGCCTTTTGAAATTTAGCTTTTATTTGTAATTACCTCTGCGTTTTCCATCTGCAGTAGGAACATACTTATCCACGGGGAAATAAACACATAGGAGCATACCCGCACCTAGCCAGGGCGGGGCTTTGGTGCCCAGCTCTGTTCTGCTTCATTTGTATTTTTTTAATGAAACAATGCATTCTAATTTTAAGCTTAAAGTCAACATCATGACTAAATGGCTGCGCTATATTTCAGAGCTGACACTGATTGTTGTTTTTGAAAGAAGCAGGCATTTGTCAAGAAATAGAGTATTAAATTGAGAGTGGGCTTGCATTCCAACGCTGCCCCCATCTTTCTGTGAGCACACACCCAGAGGAGTGGCCAGTTTGGGGTGGATTGAGCAGTAAGTAGCAGGAAAGGGGAGCTTGCCCACCTCTGGGGCCCGTCACTTTGCCCTGAGGATCTCACTTTTCTGAGCCCATCCTTGCAGCCCCTGCTTGTTCATTTCTATGACTTTTACAGCAAACTGATGGTTAGAGGTATGTTCTTGATTTGTGGAGTGTTTTTCTAAAAGGATATTTCACTAAAAAATGATTATTGCTAGCTTCTGCTAAAAATTGGTGGGTCATCTCCCTGGTCTTCATTTCTGTTGATGACAACCAGCTGGAGCTTGTAACCAGCTGCTCCATTCAGCCCTGGCATGCTCGCCCCAGTTTGCCACAGTCCACACTGCTCCCTATTGCCTCATTCTCTCTGCTGCACTCCAGAGGCTCGCCTGCTCGATATCTGAGGGGCTGTTCAGGCCCTATTGTAGAGGAATTCCTTCTTCATACCCCCATCATGAGCTAACTCTAATCTTAGCATTATGCAAATAGTAGTTTTGATCTTTTCCAAACAAATTTTACAAGGAATTTAAATAAGTCAAAACCAACTGTAAGGAGGAAAATCTTCATTCAAACCCATGCTTTGATCGTAGTATTGTTGTAAGAAGCCACACCTCTAGCTTTTATTCACAGTTTTGAATAGATTGATGCCCATGGCCAGCCACACGATGGAAGGAAATAACTTGTGCTTCCAGAACAAATAGGGAGGAGGGAAGGGCAGAGGAGTATGGGGAGCAGGGGTGGTTTATTCTGTATCAAGGGATGAGCACTGGTGCTCGTTCAGTTTTTTAAAACATTTGTGTTATTGCTGTCTAATTATTTTATTTAAATGTTATTTAACATAAATGTATCATTTTACTTGTTTACATATCTAAGCACATTCTTCAGCAGGTTTGTGGGTTGAGGCAGGGCCTGGTTCAAGAGCACCATCTGGCTTGGCTGAGTTGGCCCCTTTGAGACACCACTGGGACTAGCGTTAGCATTTCTCTACTGCACGGGAGCCGCCCCTGAGATTCCTACACTGGCTCACACTCACCCACCGTGTTAGCACAACCAAGCTGGCCGACAAAGCAGTGAGCAGGAAACATTTCCTCTCCGCAGGCCCTGGCTCCTGTGGATGCTCCCTCTCTGCTGGACCCAGGAGCCGCCCAGCTCGGCAGTCAGGAATCTTATTTGCTTAGCTGTTAGGTCATCCAGCAGACGTTTTCTTTACCAAGTGCCAAGTTCCAGGTATCTGCTGCTGACGCCCTTGGAGTTTCCGTCTGGGAATGAACGGGCAGTGCGCACAGCGCCTCTGAAGTGAGGGGAGCACACAGGCTGGGAACACTGGAGGGATCCCACCAAGGGGGCCAGAGAGGCAGCACGGAGTCCTTCTGGGAGTTTCTGCTGCCAGTTTCCTAGCAGCTAAGTGGTTCATTGAAACTAGTAACCCTACTTTCTTTGACTGGTAAGAATAGGGATCGTTTAAGTCTCTGCTGAAATGAAAAGCAGTATCTCCAGGCTGCGTGTTTTTGTACAACACAAAAGCTATTATGTGTCAGAGGTAGAGAGGAATTGCCTCCTACTTTGATGCTGTTTACAAAAAATGAAAAACTGAAAGAAAACGAACCATCCCTCTTCACTATAACTACTTACAATCTCGAAAACACTTAGAATGTCAGACACTGAGGTCATTGTTAAAGCCGCACATCAGTGTAGGACGCTCTCTGTGTGGAGAGCGGGAGAAATACCAAACTGAGCCACAGTGTGCTTTCTCACTGACGTCTTCCTCCTAGTGGCTTTTCATGTTAAGCAGAGCGATACGCTCCTCTGCACTGTATGGAGGAAACCAAGAAAATCCTAACCCCCAGGGTTGCAGGTTGAATGCATTACCTATATCCATTCATTTAGTCTTAACTGCAACACAATAAGGTAGTTACTTGTTGTCCCATTTCATAGATGAGGAAACAAGACCAGAGACGGTAAGTGGCTCTGCCAAGGCCACACAGCTAATGATTGCAGAAGCTGGAGCCAAGTTTGCCTGACTCAGGCAGTACTCACTGAGCATCCTTTCAGGTGAACTGGTTGTCACAGCATTAGCTTTCCTGCTTGCTTGGAAGAGGGTTGATGTCCCCTTCAGAAAACTGAGAAGTCTGATCAGATCTCCTAGGAGCCCCAGGCAGGAGAACAAAGTGCTCCTTAGAAAACAATCCCCAGTTCCCTTCAAAATCAGACAAAAGGAGTTTGAACACCAGAAGTTTTCCAGCACAGAACACAGTGCCAAGCACATAGCAGGTATTCAGTGAATATTTATGGATGGGAGAAGGGAGGGGAGAGAACAGGAGAGGACGATCATGTTAATTTTAGCCTAAAAACTTCAGTTGTTACCAGTCACTTAGGTTATAAAATAATCTCAATAAATATGCATCTACTTTAAGCGATGTTCCTTGCTGGTGAAACTTCCAAAACAACCAGCTTGTAAAATTCGTTCCAGAAAACTCGGTAAGTAGCCTCATTGTGTAGCTGAAAGTCAGGTAAATATTGGGGGATATCTAACAGAAATTATTTGGATCGTGGGAGAAATAACTGCTTCCTACTGCCATCAAATATTTATGAAGAGCTCAGTGATAAAGACTTTTTGAAATGAATTGAGTTCTTTAGAGCCTGAACATAATTTTTTCTAGGGTTTACTCAGCCCAAATTAGTTATTGACATTGGATTTAAACCCCATTCCCAGAACTCAATCTCTTCTTTTATTACTGAGGCCACTTAAAACCTCCAGTTTAAACCTGCTGCCTGAAAACAGATCGGGCAATGATTTATCCTGGAGCGGAGCTTGTTTGCTGCACCTTGGTTTGGTAAAAAGCAAACCATGTCTCCCATGACAAATGCGTCCTCCTGACTAGGATAGTTGTAATTTTTACTACACAAGAGTCTGCTTGTTAATTTAACAGCCTGTGCTTCCTGTTAAGGAGCAAGATGTTTTCCAACTGATGGTACAAACCTCCAAATCATGTTTTCCTCATAAGTCACGAGACAAAAAAATACTAGCGAGCTACGATAGAAAAGCCTAACTGTTCTTAAGAAATGACACTTTGCATTTCCACCAAAGTTAGCTGACAGTTTGCTTCTTGGTTCCAATGGTTTAATTGCTCCGTTTTTCTCCCACAATTTTAAATTGAAGATTTATGGCAATAGTACTGTTTCATTCATCTTTTTCAAGAATGATATGATTCATCTAAGGAAAGGAAAAAACATCTTCCTCTCTTAACCAGAAATGTGTCTTCTCCCTTTGTATATATATTCTTTGGTGGAATGATTCTCAGCTGAGAGCAATTTTGCCCTCAGTTGTCAATGCCTGGAGACTGTTTTGGTTGTCACAGTTTGAGGTAGGTGATACCACTGACATCTTCTAGGTAGAGGCCAGGGATTGTGCTAAACCTCCTACGGTGGACAGGACATCCCCCGGGACAAAGAATTATCCAGTTCAAGTGTCAGTGATGCCAAGGTTGAGAAACCCTGCTTTAGTGTACTACCTCTCCATTCTGCTTCTTAAAACGCTGTGTGGATTAGTTGAATAATCCTTTTTTCCTTTCCCTTTTCTCTTTAGCTGTTGCCTTGGTTTTCTCTGCCTCACTGTCATCTTGAATGGGTGGTTTATGTCCACTGTCTCCAACCGCCTTCTCACTCGTCCCAACAGGACCCCTGAGGGCTAGTTTTTATCGTCACTTTCCATGGACAATGCTCCCCCAAGGTCACCAGGTGCCTCCTCTCTGTCCCTGAGACCTTTCTCGATCTCTGATTTAGCTCCCTCTGGGACCCAGTGGAGTGTAACACTTGTCCCAGAAGTCATTATTAAGTGCTTCTGCTATGCCAGGGACTTAATTCTGCTGTGGAGACAGAGATTAATAGAGCTCATGAACCAGCGGGGGCGGCAGACTTCCAAAGAAAGACAGCGTTGATTTCAGCGCTGACATAGATGTCCCTACCGCAGGCCACCGATGCACGGCAGGCCTGGGACTGCGTTTCAGCTAAGCCTGGGAGGAATTGGAACAGAAACTGCCCTCAAACTATTTTCATGCACCTAACCATCAATTATTGGGGGAGCAGGAACTCTCAGAACATGCAAATTAGTTGAATGAATCCTGTGTATATACTAATAAAGAATCTATTTTTAAAACATAACCAAAAACAGAAATGCTTTAAAAGATGAATTTCAAAAGTAAATATACATATAATACTACAAATTAATGCTAAATATAAACTGGTAACAGGAACAATAAATAGAAATTAATAGGAAAGCAACATAGAAATTCCCACTTGTCCCTGTTGAAAATCTCTGGGACTTCTCTTCTCCAGCACCGTAATTCTCTCGTCCTCATGGGATGACAGAGCACTGAGGATGAGTAAACGCAGGAAACTGTCACCCGTATACCTTTGCCAGGGCTGCCATAGACTGGGCTTAAACAGCAGAAATTGTTGTCTGACAGTCCTGGAGGCTGGAAGCCTGAGACCGAGGCGCGGGCAGTGTGGTTCCTTCTGAGGTGTCCCTCCTGGGCTTGTGGACGACACTTTCTCCCTGTCTTCACGTGGCCTCCCCCTGTGTGTGTGTGTGTCCTCGTCACCTCTCCGTATAAGGACTCCATTCATGTCGGATTAGGGCCCACCCATGCGAGCTCACTTTACCTAATCACCCCTTCAAAGACTCTCTCTCTAAATCTAGTCCCATTCGGAGGTACGGGGTCAGGATCCAACATATGAACTTGGAGGACACAGTTCAGCCCTTAACACCTTCTGCCTCAAGGCATAAAAGGGCGGAAAGAGGGGATATTTCCAGAAGCAGGGAGAGCTGCAGCGGGGGAGAGTGGCGGCCCCTGGGGGAAGCCGTGAGCAGAGATGAGGAGGAGTGGCAGGACTTCCCACCGGGCAGTCCCAGGGGGCAGCTCAGGGCAGGGAGGGGTCGAGTCAGCCTCCAGAGCCCAGCCCAGCAAAGAGGGTGTGGAGGGGCAGAGGGAGAAAAAGGCGAGAGCCCCACCTCAAAGCAGGCTTCCACCTGCTTCCATTGCTGACTTCTGGACTAAAACAACATCGGCTCTCCTCGGTCAGACGGCACGTCTCAGCCTGCGTGGTGCTCTTGGCCTGAAGGTGCCTGAGAGACTCGAGTCAATGTCTTCTAGTGTTTTATGCTTCCCTTGGCCCCAGCAGTGCAGACAAGGTGCTTCCCTGAGATGAGCTTTAACTGACAAAATGCCTGCGGTGCCTTGCAGCCTTATAAATTTGTCAGCATGCCTTTCCGACTGGAGCTCAGGTTTGGGGCTGAGGGGAGTACTTTCCACTTTGCTAAGCTCTAATCCCACCTGCATGTGGTTGTCTTTTCTTCAGGAGCCCGAGCGGCAGTACATGCACATCGGCACCATGGTGGAATTCGCTTTTGCCCTGGTGGCCAAACTGGACGCCATCAACAAGCACTCCTTCAACGATTTCAAACTGCGAGTGGGTATGTTGAGGTCTGGGTCTCAGCTGTGGCGAAGGTGTGGAATAGAGAATGAAGTCATGGGAGATGTAGATGGTCCTTGGGATAGCGGAGTGGAACAATTACAAATGCATCCTTAGGGCAGCAAGGCTGGATTACAGAGGAAAGGGTTCAGGAAAGCGTCAAGCCCATAAGGCATTTTTGCACAAATTAGAAAAAAACCACACCTTCTAGGTGGACCTAGGCTATAGGCACTCAGTCTAGCAAGTGGAGCGTGGGATCAATTTCAGTCTTCAGGGCCGTGTCCCTCCATCCAAGGTCCTGTCTGCAGGACACGGCGTGCGCATCCTGAAGCCGTCCCGAGTTGCCGATGGACTTACTCTAAGCCATTGGCTGACAGTGGCTCCATTACCTTCTTACGACAGACTGTTTCAACAGTGAAGTAGGGCCTGTCACTCACTGTAAGAGAATTCCAGATTTCGAAGATGTAAAAATATTTAAAAAAAAAAAAAAAGAATCTTAGAATTGTTAAAATACGGTCTCACCTTCCTGGGCCCACAGCCTGCAAGAACACCAAATGTGTGTCCAAATTCTGAAATAGCTAAAGCTTTTCAGATGTCTCCAAATCCTACAGAAAAAATCCTACTTTCTTTAAAGTTTTTA